AAAGCAAAAGGCAGAGAATGGTGAAACATTCAAAATACCAAAAAATGCCCTTGGTTAATTCAAACATTAAGAATTGAAATTATTAATTAAATGAGGATAATATGGTAAATTCATATTTTTTTTCATATTAAAACAAATTAAAATTAAAAACAAATCAAATAATAAGTCATACTTTTATGGAACATAACTACCCATGTTATCTTTTCTTAATTCTAAAAATAAAATAAAAAAAGGAAAAAGAAAACCAATTGGCACATGCGTGAGCAGTGCCAAGGGGCTAGTATATATATAAAGCAAGGGCGCTTCTCCATTATGAAGTCCCACAATGCGGATTTGTTACGGAATTGAATTTTTGACCCTAAAGTAAAAAAAAAGAGCCAACTAGCCGGAAGAGAGAAGAAGAAAAAAATCACCAGAAGACAAGAGAGAAGAAAACTGGAGGAGAGAAAGAAGGAAAAAAGAGAGAAGGAAAGGGAGAGTGAAGAGAGAATAGAGAAGGAAAGGAAAGAAAAAATAAAGATGAGAGAGGAGAGAGGAGTTAACTCAAGAAGAGGAAGAATAGATGTGAACCATTCAAATCAATCGCATGGTCAAAAATTCAATTCCGTAACAAATCAGCATTGTGGGACTTCATAACGGAGAAGCATATATAGCAAAAGTCACAGAATGGTTAAACATTCAAAAGGCAGAAAAATCGTTACAAAGAAAAAATTAAAAACACAATTTCATTTTGAAGGAAGAAAAACGTAAAACAGTAACTTATATTAAAATACAAATAATTAGAAAGCAAAAAGTAAATAAAACTCCATGTTTAACAAGATTCTCCATAATTTGACCAAAAAAACAAGATTCTCTTAAAAAGAAGTGACACGAGGATGAGTCTGAATCGAGAGACTAGTTTACCGCAAAAATGGGCTGGCAGAGTAGAGGGAGTTGGTGGAAATGGAAACTTCAGCAAAAGACAAGAGAACATGAACTCGAGTCTGGAGTGTAGGTATTTTTAAGGCAAGTAGAAGATGCTATCCTTTGAAACTATGCTAATATGGTAATTATGTTTGATTTGAGATGCATTTTGTGTGGGCCTAGTACGTTTTGTGTTTGCGTTGGTTCTTTATTGCTCTGGGTTATTTTGAGTTGGTTTCTAGATTGGGACTTTGTATCTCTTGTTGTAACTCTTCAGATTTTTTTTTTTTTTTTACTTCTTATAACTTATAAGAGCACTTTCAGCAGTTTGTCATTTGCCATGGCAAGGGGAGAGCTAGGACAACCACTAAAGTTGTGGTGTTTCTACCAATTGCCATAGCAATAACTATTCACATGAGATATGATGAGAGAAATTTATATAGAGTTCTGGTGTGGGAAGCGAAAACTATGACTAAAAATTTATTTTTAAAAAAAATCTGAATTATTTTGTAGATTTTTTTTTAAATTGTTGCTGACTTTAGCAAACTCGGACTTGAACTAGGGCTACTCTCGCCTGAGGGCTGGCCTGGTTTTGTGGGCCCCAGCAGCTGCCCTGCCAACCCGAGTTGCTGGAATTACTTTTTGGGCCCTCACCCCTACACACACCCCACCAAAACCACCCCACCAATTATTTCATTTCCTTTTATCAAACCTACGACTGAGTGCAAGGGTAATTTCATCACTTTAATTCTCTTCTCTCTCCTCTCATCTCTTATTTCTCTCTTTTTAGGGCATTTTGAAATTACAGACTCTTCATAGGGTAAAGGAGATCTTGCCGATTGAGGGTATCCACCACTTAATGGATACTTCAGATTGTTGTATTCGTTGGAGGTTCCAAGCACTTGCAAGTGAAGGATGAAATCCCCCATTCTTCAAAACACACAATACTGCAAGTGAAGCATACAAAGCTTGTTAAGGAGCCATCCCAACTACTTCCATTGCGGAAATTGCAATAATTGAATAAAATGGATGCAATCAATCTCTAGTCAAGCAGAAGCGAATATGCACTTTAATTACCAAGATTCTTTGCCAACTCTTGAAAAAATGGTCATGGATTGAAGAAGTTTTGGTACCAGAACAAGACAATGAAGCCTTCAATCAACTTTACCTTCAAATACTCTGTTAAACGACTGGTGTCAACAATGGTTTGTTCGAAAAGTGAGCCTCAAGATTCCCAATCACAAGGTCAGCCATGGCAGTGTCAGTTTGTACAGTGTCACTTCCTACATGAGGCAAGAGTACCACATTCTCAAGCTCAAACAACTGCTCAGGTACTTCTGGTTCATTTTCATAAACATCAAGTCCAGCACCACCTAACCGACCTTCTAGCAGAGCAGAGACCATCTCAGGTTCATCAACATGAGGACCCCTCCCAATGTTAATGAGAACACCCTTTGGGCCCAAAGCATCAATGACTTCACGATTAATAATGTGACGGGTCTCGTCAGTTAATGCGCACACAACAACCAGAATATCACAGTTCGAGGCCAACTCTACAACACATGGATAGTATTTGTACTTCAACTCTGGTTTTTCTGTTCTGGAGTGGTAAGAGATTGGGCAGCTAAAAGCCTCAGCTCTCTTGGCAACTGCTTTGCCAATTCTTCCCAGACCGAGGATGCCAACTGTTTTTCCAGTGAACTGTAAATGACAGGAGAGCTATTAGAACGCGGAAACAAAGATACTATACGGATGAAATGTCAGGAAGAGAATAAAAAAAGGAAAGAAAAAGAGAGAAAAAAAAAAGAAGCCATTTGTTTTAGTAACTTATGAACTTGACTTATCACATTAAAGGCACAACTATCTCCAACTTTTAAAAGTTCAAATGTCAAGTACTTGTAACATAACCATTAGATTCAAACTACCCTAAGAAAACACATCGTTAGCATCCTGTCATGGTTTTAAGAAAGGAATTCATACCTTTATGCTGTCATTTGCTTGATTACTATATCGTGCAGCAGTTTATGCATAGAAAATGAGCAATACCCAGTCTACGATAATGGCAATTCAACAAACACCACACAGCGGAACACATTAAATAGAAAATGAGTATCAGGTTTATTATTCTTTCCCCTTTGGTTCAACAATTGGTAAACTTTCTTTACCATAATCTCCAATTCCAGTAAACCAACATTAGAAATTGGTTGCCAATGCACAAGCAAAGCAAAGCAAAACAAAATCAACCCAATAATAAGCAATAAAAATTATGTCTAAAATACTAAGAAAAAGCAAACCTTGGTGGTCAACTTGTAGTCACCCTTCTTCCACTGCCCACTCCTCAGATACCGATCACTCTCACAGAGCCTTCTCAACACAGCCAACGCCAACCCAATAGCAAGGTCCGCCACGTCATCGGTCAAAACATCGGGCGTGTTGGTGACCCGAATACCCTTTTCCCTGCACTTGTTCAAATCGACCTTATCGATCCCAACGCTGAAACTGGCCACGATCTCCAGCTTCGGCAAAGTCTCGATGAGCTCGGCGTCCGCTCCGTTCCCTGCATTACCGACGACGGCTCGGATGGAGCCGGAATGGTCCTTGAGGAACTGGGTTTTTTGAGGGACGGTCCAGAGCTTCAAGAGGTTGAAGCGCTTCTCGAGCTCTTGCTCTAAATATGTGGACATTGGAACTGGCATGAGCACGCCTATGGAGTCCATTGTTGGATTTTGAGTATTGGGTTTTGATTGGTTTTGAGTTTTGTGGCCCCCAAAACGCTTGGAAAAGGTTGTGATTTGTGAACTGAGAGTGAGTCGGTGACCGTCTGACTGGTAGTTATGGGGGTGGCTCCTAATTCTGTGGTGGTCCCGCGAGGACGACAATGTAAACGTCGACGTATTGTGTAAATGGATAGAGCATACAAATAAATAGAGTTATTTTCAGATATTTCACAAAAGCCTATGAGGTTTCAGAAAATGCGTGAACACTCCTTGAGTTTTTAAATTGTTTTCATAAAAATCTTTTCGTTGATTGTTCATTTTTGATGATTTAATTTTAAAAACGTGTGCAAATGACAAAATCAACATCAATGAATGCATGTGCAATCTAATTCTAAAGACTTTGTCATTTGGAGAAATTCTTCTATCTAAAATCATCAATCTTTAGATGAAAAATCAACGAAAATGGTTTTATGAAAATAATTTAAAACCTCAAAAGGTGCTAGTGTAATTTCCCAAATCTCATAAGGCTTTGTGAAAAATCTTAAAGCCTCAGGAGATGTTAATATAAATAACTCCACACAATTACAACCAAATGAGTAAGCAAATTACAATAAAGCGAATAAATAAATAAATAAATAAATAAAATAAAGTCCAAATTACTTTTCTTTACCCTTATACAATAAAATATTGTGAGAGACGTATGAAGCCAAGCATATACATAAATACTTTTTTTTTTATGCTTGTATTTATTACATGTGAGAAGCAAGTTCATTAGAATAGACAAAATTTGATGACTTAGTCCAACATATGGCCAACTACACAAGTTCATTAGAATAGACAAAATTTGATGATTTAGTCCAACATATGGCCAACAACACTTGGATGGACACAATTGAAAACTTGAGTTAAAAAGGATGAAAAGTTTGTGATTTGACTTAAGTAAAAACCTAACCTCTAGTTGACCGAGAAAAAAAACCCTCTTGACTCGCCCTCACACGTGTGTTTTATATTTTTTTGACATAAATCTTTATTTTTTTAAATATATTGTTTTTGTGTATTTGTCTATTTAAAAATGTAATTCTATTTTGGAATTTTTTGAGTTATTTGGAAGGGTATTTCGCTAGGCATACACTTTAGAGATTACACAGCTTATTTATGGTCAATGTCAATGCACAAAAAAATGCTCTAGTGAAGTTATTTTAATTAAATAGGTGTTCTTATTTCCAACCGCAGGATCAAATGAACGGCTCTGATTTGAGGAAGACCCATCTGAAGAAGAGACTAGAGAAAGGGAGAGACAACACACGCCTCACTCATTTTTTTCTTCGCACAATCGATGAGAACACAATCCGAGAAAATTGAGCAAAGCTTTGCGTTCTCAAGGTTAGGGGATTTTATTTTTGTTGCTTAAAGTTCTTCTGCACTAACTAAATTTTATTTAAGGCTTCCTATTTTGGATGTTAAGGCTTTTGTTTGTTGATTCCAATGAATCTAAGGTCAGTGTTTCTTGTTATTATTATTATTTTTTAAAAATTTTGTAGTTTCAAGTTTCTGAATTTCTTGGGGTTTTCAGATTTTGTATATCAGAGCCTTTGGTAATTTCTAGCTGCAAATGAGACTAGGTTTTTTTTTTTTTTTTTTTTTTTCTTGTTTTTTTTTTTTTTTTTTTTTTTTTTCAATTTTTTTTTCCTTACTGATGGTTGTGCTGGTCAAAGTTCTGATCTTGGTTATATTTTTGTTTATTTGTTTGGTATTTTGTATATGGAATCACTAATTGCTAAGATGCAACCAATTATCAACCTGAATAGATGGGTTTGGTTATACTGGAATAATCTATCTGAATAATTTATCTTTTCAACAGTGGATTCAGATTTTGATATTCTTTGATAGTATCAAATGTAGTTTCAATTTCTTTATATGAAACCATCAAATTTGAATTTGTTTGGGTCCAGATTGTATGATTTTTAATGATTTTGAAACAAGTGGCTGACCTTGTGTCTGAATCCTTTTTTGATCTCCCTATGTTACCATGCTCAGATAACCTTCAAAGATTGAGGAGTTCAGAGACGAGACTTGTTGCTTGTACAATAAGATTTGAAAGAGCAGAGGGAGAGGAGATAATGTCAAGTGGCCGAAACACCCATTGGTGTTACAATTGCAGGCGACCGGTTCGTCTGCAAGGGCGAGATGCAGTTTGCCCAAGCTGCGATGGAGGATTTATTCAAGAACTCGATGATATGGTTCATGTCAGTCCACTGGATTTCTTTGGACTGGACAATGATGATGATCATGACAGGAGGTTTGGGTTCGTGGAAGCTTTCTCAGCCTGGCAGCAATCGACAGACAGAAGACGTAGCGATATCAGGGGAAGATCAGATGTAGTTCCTGAACGTAACCCGGCATTTACTCCTCTGTTGATCTTTGGTGGCCAAATTCCTTTTCGACTGTCTGGGAATGGTGCATTCGAAGCTTTTTTCAATGGCTCTCCTGGAATAAGTGTGACGCGGGGTAATGTGGGGGATTATTTTGTAGGTCCTGGCTTGGAAGAACTGTTTGAGCAGCTTTCAGCTAATGACCGGCGAGGCCCTCCTCCAGCATCTAGAGTTTCAATTGATGCAATGCCTACTATTAAGATCGCAAATAGGCATCTTCGTTCTGATTCACACTGCCCTGTTTGCAAAGACAAGTTCGAGCTTGGATCTGAAGCAAGGCAAATGCCCTGTAACCATCTATATCACACAGATTGTATTGTACCATGGCTAGTCCAACACAACTCATGCCCTGTTTGCCGCCAAGAACTGCCTCTGCAGGGAGCCGCAAGTGGTGGTAGCTCGAATGGTCGAAGTAGAGGCAGTAGTTTTGGTAGCAATACCAATGGAAGGGAGGGTGGTAGAGAAAACCAAGGAAGGAGAAATCCTTTCTCTTATTTGTGGCCATTTCGCTCATCTGGTGCCAGCTCTAGCTCGAGCCATACCCATGCCCATACCCATAACCATAACCCAACAGCCGAAAGTAGCTCATCGACTATGCGTGAAAACAATAATCAGATGGGCTATTCAGGATGGCCATTTGATTACTGAGGTTATAAAGTTCACATTACTGTTTGCTTTCCTCTTGGATCAGAATGTAGAGCTGCCAATTGAACTAAGCAAATTGCTTGTGGTGAGTGCGGGTTTGAGACCCTGTTTTAGTGTTCCAGTATGTTGTTAAAAGGTGCATGATGGTCTTTTGGTGTTTAATATGCCTCTCTTTCTATGTAAATGACTATTTCCTTCTTTTGTGAACTGCTGTATTTCTAAGTTGTTCTTGGCTTCCTTTGTATGCTTCATACTCGCTGTCTTGATCGGTGTAAAATTGTTACCATAGGAGGTTTTAATCATTTTGTTAATCCCACATAAGAATCCTTAGTGTAATTTACCATGAAGGATTTGGAAATTGATGGAGACTTAAGAAAAAAGAAAACTAAGCATGAATTTGAATAGATCATAAAGAACACATAAAAACTGGTTTTAACGTTTATCCATTAATACTTTAAACTTTTTCCTTTTAATGAGATCAAAACCTTAGACTTAACTATATTGTAAATCAAGAAAATCTTAATCAATTTTGATTGGAATAAGAAGAAACTTGTGATCCAACTTGCGGTTGATGTAATGCTGAATTTTAGTCCTCCCAAATCAAAGGTGCACGGTTCCGAAACCAACCCAGCCAAATATTCAATTGCATGAATAATATTTTCCTACAAAGTAGAGAGAAATACCACTAGATTAACAATGTCGGTCGATGTATTATTCATAGATATTTTCTTTTAAAAAAAATATTATTCATAGAAATTATATGCTGTTTTAATGTCTTTATTGTATAAACAAAAGGCAGTGTATTCATAAATATTGGAGAATTGATAATGAAGTTCTTATAAAGAAGTCGTTGGAGTAGAGAAGATGAACAATTTTTTTTTGTCTGTCTGTCTGTCTTTCTTTCTTTCTTTCTCTCTCATATAAAATGAAATAAATATTCTATGGAGGGAGGAGCTGATATTGACCTACCAGAACCATCCACTTCATGAGGAGAGAGAGAAAGGGAGAGAGAGAGCTGGTAAATTAGAAATGCACCTCTGTCTTACCGGGATTTTAGCTCTCCTTGACCTCCACATTTAAACCTCAACCATCCAATTCATGCAAACCTCAAAAAGCCAAAGCCAAAACCTCCCAACACAACAAAAAGAATAGTTTTGTTTCCTCATTTCTCACAACATGCACCCCACGTTCCACCAACCCAACTGATATCAAAAAAAGAAAAGAAATTAACTAACCCCAAAAACCCATCAATCTCAAAACCAATCACCTCCGCATTTTTGTCAAAACTTGCCAATTTCTCAAGAAACAAGAGCACACAAAAAAACAACATCATCAACCACAAGAACAACAACATCAGCAACAAAAAACAACGACAACAGCTCTGTTTCTCAATCATTTACAAGTTCTCACCTGCAAGAACTTGAGTAACAGACAAAATAGATCCCTCTCCTCCCCTCCCTCCTGCCAATAGATTGAGCAGCACTCATGCCTTGTTCTCGCTTGTTCATTCTATAAAGGTTTTTCTCAAAAAGTTGAGAATGGTCCGAGCACTTGAAGAAGAAGAAGATAATTACAAGTCAAGATTGTATCATTTCAAAGGGATGCATGAGAATACAGGAAGGCATACCAAGAGTTTGAGCGTTGAGAGCGCTACCGCGTTAGAGTTTCAGGACGATGATAAGAAGGGTTCAAGAAGTAATGGAGCTCAAGGCTCCAAGTCACGGTTGAGCAAAGAAGAAGCCGAAGCCAGAGAAAAGCAACAACAGACAGGTGAGCTTGTCACCACCATAATTGTTGTTGTTAGTTTGAATAAATAGCTTAGCTGGTCCTGCAGAATTTGCCAGCATACATATCTTTATTTGAATTATAATTATTTGGCTTGTTGGGTTTGATTCAGATATGGAGCAGATGAAGGAGAGGTTTGCCAAATTGCTTTTGGGAGAAGATATGTCTGGTGGAGGAAAGGGTGTTTCGTCAGCTTTGGCTTTGTCGAATGCTATTACAAACCTTGCCGGTATGCATACTTTTCGTCTATTTCGTGTAAATGTGGTACAAATAGTTTTATTATAATTGTTATGACAGCAAGATATATCTGGAAAGATTATACATTAGTTTAAGGTGAATGTAGGAATTGTGAAATGCAGCTATTTCACATTTCATATTAGTTTTAGACTCAGATGGTGGCATTGACATATTAATGTTGGTTTTTGATTTTGAATGTCCAACTATATTGACCTTTTTCTTACAAATTATATAGTATGCACTATTGAAAAGGCTGATTTGTTAGATTTCCAGTTCGCATAACAATCATGTTACTCTTCCAAATGCATTGCAGCTTCTGTTTTTGGAGAACAAACTCGCCTAGAACCCATGTCCGCAGACAGGAAAAAGAGGTGGAGAAAAGAAATAGATTGGTTATTATGTGTGAGTGATTACATAGTTGAATTTGTTCCTTCACAACAGAAATCCAAGGATGGAAGCAATATGGAGGTACAATCTCTTCCCTACTCCTCTCTCTCTTTCACACACATACACACATGGGCGCATGGCGCAACATTTCACATCTTGATGAGAGTTTGCATGTTTTGGTTTAATAGATAATGGTGACTCGGCAACGAACAGATCTTCACATGAACATTCCTGCCCTGCGAAAGCTTGATGCAATGCTTATTGTAAGTAATTATGTGCTTGCTAAAATTCTTTTCCATTTTCCATAACATATGATTTCATGTCCTGTGTGTACAATGGATTATATTGCTCTGACAAAATTTATAATAATCAGGACTGTCTAGATAATTTCATAGACAAGCAAGAGTTCTATTATGTATCCAAAGATGCTGATGAGAACGAGAAAGGAAATGCAAAGAGAAAAGATGACAAATGGTGGCTACCTACTCCTAAAGTTCCGCCGAATGGTTTATCAGAAGCGGCAAGAAAATTTTTGCAGTATCAAAAAGATTGTGTCAACCAAGTGCTCAAAGCAGCAATGGCCATAAATGCTCAAGTTTTATCAGAAATGGAAATTCCCGAGAACTACATTGAATCCCTCCCGAAGGTAAAGAAAGTTAGAACTAATCTCATTGCAATGTTACAGGCCACTTTTGAGCCTTGATGAGTTCTCTTACCACTTTATGAAAATGAGATGGTTTATTGGTTTTATGCAGAATGGAAGGGCAAGTCTTGGTGATTCGATCTATCGGAGCATTACAGTTGAATTCTTTGATCCTGACCAATTTCTTTGCAGCATGGACTTATCATCAGAGCACAAAATACTGGACCTCAAAAACAAAATGGAGGCTTCCATGGTAATATGGAAGAGAAAGATGAACCAAAAAGATGGGAAATCAGGTTGGGGCTCAGCCGTGAGCTTGGAAAAGAGAGAGCTCTTTGAAGAGAGAGCAGAGACCATCTTACTCCTCCTCAAACAGAGGTTCCCTGGAATCCCTCAATCTTCACTAGACATCAGTAAAATCCAATACAACGCGGTAAGACATAATTCATATCCCTTAAATCTTGAAGAATTACTCCACCCCCTAATTGCAGAATCAAAAAGTTAATGCAAGCTTATTGGCAATGTAACAGAACATACCACATAATATATTCTATTCTGTTTGTAGAAGTGTTGTTTGGGAAAAATTATTTCTTGTAATATTTGATCATGCTCTATGAACTTACATAAAGGCTTTTTCTTGGCTTTATAGAATGTTGGACAGGCTATTCTTGAGAGCTATTCAAGAATACTAGAAAGCTTGGCCTTCACAGTCTTGTCCCGGATTGAAGATGTACTATACGCTGATTATGCTTCTCAGAATCCATCACATGTAGCATGTAAAAGGAACAATTTAGGAGAATCTACACCAGTTGCAACTTCTCCAGATAGGTCCACAAAAGAAGAGAATTCCGGGACAGAGACACCCGGTTCAATGACACTGTCGGATTTCATGGGTTGGGGATTGGATCAAGCTGACACTGAGGCACAAAAGGACCTAGATGCTACAGATGAAGGCAAAGACTTCTGTGAGGTTAAGCATCCACATATGCAGAAGATTGCCAACATAGTGACCAACAAGAAGATTTCCTATCTAGATAACTTGGGTGGATTGAGAAGTCCAACGGCACGCCACTAACAGCATTGACAGGAGAAAAATCAAAGGAGTTTGAGCAAAAAAGAGAGAGAGAAAAGGAGAAACAAAATGAGAGACGCAGCGATGTAAAGAGCAAGAAAGCCTAGCCTTCAAATGTAAATTTCAGCACTCATTGGCATCCTTGGAGTTGTCATCACTTATTTTCATTCAATTCCTTCCTTTTGTACATAGGGAAGAATGAGAAAACCCAATGGGGTGCATATGAAGCATTTTGCACATTGTTTCTTCTTCTGTAGAAGAAATGGCTTTGTAGACTGACTGAAAATATAAATTTGATGACTTCTCTTAGACATATGCTCATTTTTTTCCTTGCCCATTTGTACTCTAAATCCTCCAGACTGTTCGCAATATTTTCTACCAATTTTCATCATGTTTTGAAGATTTCAGACTTCACTGATCATAGACCACAAAATATGATGATATCATGATCTTAAAACATAAAAGCAGTAGTGCCCCAAATTGCACTCGAAAGAAATATCTTTGAATAATTGTCAAGTGAGGGGGTCTTAATTCTGCATTAGACATACTTACAAGTACAAAATAGAGAAGCAATTACATACACACGATGAAAAGCTTTGAAAAGATGGAAAATCCCAAATGCAATTAGATCTTGCCACGTGGGCCTAGCTTGGGTGGAAGTTGTGGGCCCTTCTTGATGGGTAGAATGTCATCTGAAGCAGTGGCACTAAGGTAAGCAATGGTGGAAGCACCTCCCAAGATCAGGAACTTGAGCAACAAGCCTCTCTTGGTGAATGGAGCAGCAAATGTCTCAAAGAACTTGCTCTGCATAAATATTAGCATTTCATAGCCATTGGCAAGCTTAAATTAGATGATGACTTGGTCAAATAACTGAACCAACTTGGGTTACATATTCAATTGTTAATTATTAGCTTGGATTAGAAAATAATTGGGAAATATTGGACCAACATGACCTAGATTAACATATACATGATATTTGATTATATAGCACATGCCATAACATTAGAGACAAATATAAAGTTTAATGTGTCAGGATTTCCATTAAAATTAATAATAGAAATGAAAACTGCTTTTAAAATAAGCTGTTTAAGTTCTATAAAATTTTACTTCTGTCAACAACAGCTTTCATAGCTCAGTTGGTTAGAGCACCCGTTTAGTAAGCGGGAGGTCTTGAGTTCAACTCTCAATGAAAGCATTATTGTTTTTTTTTTCTCTCTTTTTCTTTTCTTTCTAATTTTAAGTACATTATTTACATACATTCAAAGAATTTAGGGTAGTTAGCAACGGAACCTGAAGAGGGTTGTAGGGTGAGGGTGCATCTGAGCCGTACAAGTCCCACTTCCCGGTAGTGTTGCCCAGATCCTCAAGGTCAAAGTAGACACTTTTGTCTCCATACTTGGCCACCACAGCACCACTCCTATTTACCCAACACACCCAGTAAACTTATAATTAAACACACCCATTACAAATTTACAAGCTCATGGAAAATATATAGAACCTTTTCTTCTAGCACTTACCTGATGTTTTTGGGTCTGAGGGTCTGGCGGGTGGGCTTGACAGAGAGCTTGGTTCCAGTGAAGGAACTTCCGGCAAGGCCATTGATGGTGGCTGGTTGAACAGCTGCTAAGGTTGCCAGAGATGCCATGGCCAAATAATTTGGTCTGCTCTGAGTCTCTGGCTAGCTAATTTTATTTTTCTTTTGTTCTTGTTTCAGTTGGGTTATGGAGGATGTGGAGCTGTGGGTTTTTGATCTTTTGCATGGATCTGAGCATGACACGTGGTGAGATGGGTTTTGTTTAGAGGATATTGAACTTCACTTGCATGCTGCCACGTGGAGTGGATGCTGGATAAGCCTATCCTTGTTGATCATATTCAGGAATCTCGCTAGAGCACACTATTCTTAGTGGTAATTTTGTTTTGTTATGTTCTTTGTCTATAGAGAAAATAATAAAAATGATCATAAGACGGGATATGTGAGTTAGAATAGTTGTTTAGAGTATTGTGTCTGTATTCGAGTTTGAATTTCCCTTAGTTTAATGACTTTACATTACTTTTACTTTTTGTTCATAAGTTAACTCACGCTTTAAGAATAATTAAAATAGATAATATAATTGGAGGAAAAGATATTAAAAGTCGTTAGCCAAAATAACTTTAAAATTTATATAGAAAAAGGTCACACTTGGAAAAATTAATCTCAATTAAAATTTTTAATTGAATATCAAATTTAAAAACAAGAAGTCAAATTTGAGATATTGTGATTATTTTATTTTATAGAAAATATTGTATTCGTTTATTTATTTGAACATAGTTGAATGATTAAAAGTTTTTCAATTTGAGTGTGTCATATTTGAATGATTAGTAAGTTTTTTCAATTTGACTAGCTATTAATACATTGATTTTTCTTTTCCAATGTAAAAGATTAATTAAATTCGAATCCCCTCTTATAGAAATATTAAAACACAAAGATTCTCTTTCTCTCTATTTATTTATCATCCATGGAATATATTGACTTAAAACATATTAATATGAACTTGGCCAAAGGAGGAAAAACTAATAATGGACTTGATAGTTTAGATTATCGCCCCTTTCAATAGAAAATGTTCTAAAAAAAATATATATTAGAACTCAACATTGTCCCCAATGTTAAGAAAAGAAAACATGCAACACCAAAGTTAAGGAAGGAAGCCGAAAAAAATTAAAGTAAAAGAAAAGAAAAGAAACAAGAAAAAGAAGAGGGCTTCCGGGGTTTATTGGCTCTAGCTCCATAAAGAGAAATTGATGAGTCATGATGCTCTTGTGTACAAGGCAAACCACCCTCAAACTTGGTGTGAGATAGGGTGGGCATTGAGACCGGAAAATCAGAACACCGAGCCGCACTGGACAGAAAAAACTAGAAAAAAACCGTGTTGATTAAAAAGTCAACAAACCAACACCGAACTAGATTGGACCAAATCAAACCGATTTTGGTCACACCTTACAAAACCGGACATGATGGGACTGACTGTGTATTTTTTAAATATTTAAGTCCAATACTAAAGTTCTAATCCCATATCTAATATTTCCTCAAGCCCAACTTCAAAGCACCTCTCTTTTCTAGGCCCAATCATCTCTCTGCGCATGAAATTAGATCATTTGTGAATTTTGAAGCCCAAAATATAAATTTTAGTTGGAATTTGTAAAATAATAATAATAATAATTGATAATAATTGAAAAATATACAAAAAAATTCAGTCAAAAACCGGAAACCGCACTGTAATTGGTTTAAACTGAACCTACCGATTTCATAAATTTTTTTCACCAAATTCGGACTGAACCACACCAATTGAATAGTACCAATTCCGGTGTGAGGTAGAAATTAAACCGAACCGGGCCACGCCCACCCCTAATGTAAGATAGCAGCCCTTGAAGACAACAATATCAGTAAAAGGTGCTACAAGGATAGCAGCAGCAGAGCAAAAATTGCCAAAGTGCAGCAACAAGACCAATGTCCCAAATAAATTGTTTTGTCAAAAATTGGCCCCAAAACCAGTTCCCACAAGTGTAGTATGTTATGTAGAAAATATCTATGCAGGATGTTGGCCTTTAAAATCTTCAAAGAAAAATTGGACCCCTCAAACCTCGTCAAAAAGGAACAACAAGGTCTAATTGAGGTTTGTAGACTACACTTTTCCACTTTCTTCACATTCATGGCTATAAACCCACTGGAATAGCTTTGAATAGGTAAAAGAACATTATTGGCAGCTGAAATTTGATGAATTGAGCTATTCATCATAATTTGGGTAGCTCAAACCCCCAAACTAGCCGTGTAAGAGATCCATTGTTCCTTTGAGGCCTTGTACACCACTTCACATTGAAAACTATCCTCCCACATCACATTAAAGGTAGGCAAACGGTAGAAAGATTAATTTGTGTCGGGTATGTGGTCGTTACATGTTGAACGTTTGTTACATGATTTGTTTCTTGATTGCATTTATCTTTTTAATTCACGAGGATTTAACGAAGATGAAAACTGTTGGAATGCAGGGGTTGTGGAACCATTATAAAAAATATACGAACTTTCTTCCTCTCATGTAGAAAGAAGTTGCCTTGTAGCTCTCATAATGTGATCAAAGTACTAATCAAACGTGGCTAATTAATCGGGGACCAGAAAGCATCACACTCAACTATGTCGAGCTAGACCCCCATGTGTGTTGGAAGGTTTTTTAAGTGATGACCATTTTAGTTTTACGAAATAATAGGTTATAGTAAGCTTAAAATTAGCAATCTCAGATCCTTTTCAACTAAACTTTGATAATGATATGAGAAAACTTAGTGTAAAAAGCGTTAATTTATGAATAAAAAATGTTGAATTTTTTCTTTCTTTTTTTTTTTTAAAAAAAAAAGGAAAAGAAAAGAATAGTAGTTAGGAAATGCCAACCACATGGTGAAGAGACTATTCATCATGATGGTATGATCATGTTCTTCAAAGTCTGTTTCTGCAAGAATTGAATTAAATATCACTTATATGGGATTGTGATAGTTACTATATGTTGAATATAGTATATGTACTGCAACTTGTAGGTTTATATTGAACAATATGTATCAAGGATTTCCATTATTAAATGGGCTATTGGAGGAAATTAAATTTGATGTTTAGCCATTCCTCGAGCCATTCATGAGAACCTTCACCATATATTTTGCCTGCAGTGGGTGGCATTTTAGTCTAGAGTCTAGTTTTTTCAAAACTCAGGAAATGTTATAAGTATGTGTAAGTAATAGCTAGGTGAGTGAAAGTCGTCTCAAAGGCCAGTCCAAGACTTGCCCTCCCCTGCAGAATCGCCCTTCGCTGTAGACTCACCCTCTCCTTAGTCTGAATCCCATGTCACGCCTTCAGCTGCAGAGCCTCCAGCTGCTTCCGTACTGGATGTTGCTCCTGCCATGTCTGCTTATATTATTCTATTTCGTGTTCTCTTGCGTGAATTGTGTTTTCCCTTTCGCTGCCCATCATTATTCACTGTGATAACTTGAATACCACGGACATGGCAGCCAAAATATGTTTTAAAAGTATGTGTATTATATATAATGGTCCATATATTCTTCTTAGGAATACTTAATTGATGGTTGTGTAAAATCTGGATTAATTGGATGCAGTTACGCCATGATATCATTTGTGGCATCCACAATCAGGGGCGCCCATCACCATCAACGTGTTAATCATGGAGTTCGGTCTCATTCAACGCCTGGAAAAGTTTTTGATATGCTGAATGGATTTGGAACAGTAGCATTTGTTTTTGCAGGGCATAGTGTGGCCTTGGAGATTCAAGCCACAATCCCTTCACCTCCAGAGAAGCCATCAAAAGTTGCCATGTGGAAAGATGTTGTGGTTGCTTACATCATCGTGCCATTTTGCTATCTTGCTGTTGCAATCTCTGGCTTATGGGCTTTTGGCAATGTTGTAGAAGATGATGGACTCATCTCACTGGAGAAAACTAATTGGCTCGTTGCATTGGCCAACATTATGGTGTTCTTTCACGTTATAGGAAGCCGTCAGGTAAAGCAAAACTGTTACATTAATTCAAATTAATTAGAAGATGTATTATATAGACTAAAGAAATTGTGAAAACTAAATCATTTGCTAATGGATTTCTTTTTCTGTTTTGTATTCAGATCTTTTGGATGCCTGTGTTTGATGTGATTGAGTCATATTTAGTAAGAAATTTAGGTTTCAAACCCGGCGACCTTTACGCCTCATTGGTCGTAGTTTGTACGTACGTAAGTACCATTTCAATTTATACAAAACTACTCGTATCACATTCATAGGTAATGCATTGTTAAGTAAGACTAAATTGCATACGTGAGTCTCTCGTACATCTTATCACTACTGAAAAATATTAATGTGATCAACAATGTAATAAGTAAATGTGATACATATTATTATATTGTTACTCTTTTATTTTATATATTACAATTTCTTTATTTGTAACTATATTAGTTTTGGAATTTGACTCCAATTTCCTATTGCAACTTGAAAAAAATTGATTGTTTTGAATATCCACTTATCTTTGTTAATTAATCATGTATTTTCTTTTATTACCCATTTTCTAAAATTAAAAACAGGTTTTCTATGACATAGGCACCAAATTAAAGTATTGATTATAGCCATTCTTCATCTGTGCTAATTCTATGTACTTGTCATATGTCGGGCATCTTCCATGTCCTGATATTTGATTTTGTTTGGAATGTTTATCCAGTCTTCGCAGGATTTATTGCAATGTGCATTCCATTTTTTGGAGGCCTAGTGTACTCTTCGACATCATATTATGTGAGTCAATAATAAACACGAATTCGAGATGATGATTTAGGCACTCTACATCTCACATATGCAATACTCTACTACTCACAAATGAAAAGTGCATGAGGTATTTAATGGTGATTTCAGAATACCAAAATCATCACCGTGCATATATAAGATATACACTTTACAACACAAAAGATAATCTACGCTGAAGTTGCTAAGTAATTTCACATTAGTCAATGATTGTATTTAGTTATCTTGATCATGATAATTAGTAAATACGATAAAATTTGGTGAATTTGGTGCATATTAGTGGGCGGATCCACATAGGAGCAAGAGGGGTCAATTGACCGCTGCAAGCCTGGAATCTACCATTGGAGGCAAAGATGTTGACCCCTGCAAATTGCCCACAAACTGTTTGGTATCTTTGTCCTTTTACTTTTATTTATTTTTATATTACTCTATTTACTTAATTTTACAATGTAAATAAGGAAGTACCCTCTATTTGGATTCAAATAAAAATACTAGAAAATCAAATTCCCACCAAATCAAAATATGAAAAATTGATTTTAGTGCAAAATACAATTTAGGCTAAAAATGATAGCTCATTAAGTCAATATATACGTCATAATAAAATCCCATAAAATCAAGTTTTCTTATTTGATGTGTAAG